GCCTGTCCCCCGGCCTTGCACGCCTTCCCCCCTTACATCATTGCCACATTCCCCAGCGAGTGAGCTCAGCTGTTCGCGCAGCCTCTCGCCTTTTATGGTCAAACAACTTTGCCTGGGCGAGGCTTTTTTTCGCGAGTTGGTAGGAAGCGCCGGGGCTCAGCAGCTCCCCCGCCTTTGCCTTCTGCCGCCTTCCCCGGCAGGGGGGGGACAGAAGCCCGGCCCCAGCCCCGCCAGCTCCAGGCCCGGGGGCGGCATTTCTCCTTCCACCCAGTCCCGGCCCCAGAGGTGAGTCTCTCGGCTTAGCCAGGAATCTCGGTATCTGCAGCCGCTGGGAAAGGTGCGCCCGGGTGGAAGGGCGCGGGTTGTGTTGCCGTGCCCGCCGGGACGGGCTCCTCGCCTCCTACCCACACCCCCAGTCTCTTGAGGGTTGATCGTGGTCTCTGGGGGTTTTGCACCCTTCTGCAGAAGAGAGATTCCCGTTGTGTGTGAATCTGGTGAGTTCTCCCCTCCCCGGTGAAATGGAGGCAGCGAAACAAACGCTCCTGTGTAGCTTCAGCAGTGGGGAAGAGGGACGGAAAGTTGCCTGGGGTTTGTCTGGGACAGGCTCTCTTTTGTGTGCGCACGGGTGAGTGAGACACCCCTGGAGCCTTTTGCCAGGTCTGCTTGAGAGAGAGGAATCTGGGGCTCTTTGTGCATGAAATTTGTTTAATTGATGAGTTTCTGTCTCTCCGGGAGCCCTGAGAAAGTGAAGGCACAAGTCTTGCGAAAGTGGTGGAGCTTCCTAAAGTTTTAAATATGTTTGCATTGCTTTTTGGAGTTTGTCTCTTCCCTCTCCCGCTCCCCGTCCTCGAGGAGGAAGAAAGCCCGGCCTGTGTGGGAGAGGTCTGCAGCTCCGAGTGCCCCCCTCCCCCAGCCCGCTTTTCTTAAGGCTCTACCTTGCAGCTCACATAGCTGGTAGTAGCTTTGGGCCTGGCTAGGAGAACTTTCTGGAGTTAAGTCTGTGTGAGAAGATGAAAATAAGAGTAACTCCGAACTTTGATCTGTTCGTTTTATTTATTTTTTTATTTTATTTCTTTGCTGTAGTTCTACTTCTGACTCCTCTCAGTTGGGAGGAACTTGGGAAAGGGGAAGTACAGACAGAGTGTGTAAGACTACAGAGCTGGGCAAGCTCTTACGGGGTCTCCTGGTGTGGCTGAAGCTGAACCACTTCCTACCAGTGGAAGTGAAAAACAACACTCGGTGCTCTGCCTCAGGTTCCTTCTCTTCTCGCTGCCCCAGCAAAGGAGCTAGCTGCACTTTTTGAAAGTGGTGTCTTGGGGTCAAAGAGCTGAAAGCTGTCTGGGTGCATAACCGGTGGCAGACCCACCGCAGGACTGTCTGGGAGGTGTCCCTGCTGCTGTTGGAGATGTCCAGTTGGTTCTGTCCTACTCCTTCTCCTTGGTCCTTGGTTAGACAGGAGTCAACTCTAAATTTTAGAGTTAGACAGAAATGAGGCAACTAAGTATCCTGTGTCCTTTGGACATGTCTTTCTTAATAGTTCCTCTTGACTCATGTTCAATGCTGTTACAGCAGGCAGAAAAATCTCTCCCCTCAGAGAAAGTGGGAGGACAAGGTTCAGAGACTAAGTCTACTGGTGTGACACTCCTTCTCCAGTATCTTTTGCAAACAGTTAGGGCCACAGGACTCACGTAAGCCATGTGCTTCTGGAAAGGCTTAAAGGCTATGGGCAAGGCTGGCGAGTGTGTGTGGGGGTGACTCTCTGCAAGGCCATCCCTTTTCAGTCTGTTTGGTCTGTGTAGGGGTGGACTGATAAGTAAGTGAGGATGAGCAGGTTCCAGCTGCTGGATGGAGGCAGCTCTGAACAGAAAGGGCCTGAAAAGCGAGATGGCGCGCTGGAAATGGGCTGCTTTGGGTAAAGGGACATAGCTGCTGGTAGCAAAGCCAGCACTTTTTTTGCAGAGCAGCAGATGTCCCACCAGTGTCTCTGTGTTGACTAACCCTGGTACAGCTCATGATCAGAAGTGATGTCACTGTGGTGTTCTGCTCATAACACTGTCACCTCTGGTAGAGCTACTTCCAAGGGGTTCGTTACACCACAGGGAAGAGGGAAGCTGCAGACTGGAGTGATTTGGTCAGTTTCTTCTGACTTGCCAGTCTGTTGACCCCTACAAGTCTGAGGGATTGAGGACAGACCTGGATGATGTCTCTTCTGCCTGGGCCCTTTCACATGTGGGATCATGTGGGAGATGCTCAGCACAGCATTTTGGCTGCTGCTTGCTGTTGCAGCCTCTTCCTCCTTTTGAAAGGCACAGATTGTCAGGGTGCATGCAACTCATGGGCCCTGCACACGGGGAACACAAAGTGCAGCAGCACAGACTTTGACATTTGTCTGTGTTGTCACACGTGTGTGACCTGGAGAAGTTGTTGCAGATCGCTGACATCTTGCCACGCTGCACCGAACTGTGGAAGTGCTTAGAACAGGGCATGCAGGTCTCAGCAGCAGCCGAATTAGGGGTGGGATGTTAGTGGCACCAGGGCTGTCTGTCCCTGTCGGTGTGGGAGCGGCTGGCACTGATCTCAGCACGCCAGGCTGAAGAGCTGGCGCAGAGTCCCCGTGCTGGCGGAAGCGCTATTGTGCCGGGGTGTTGGATGAACGACAGGCACGCTGGGCTCTGCAACAAAGAGTCTGGCTTCGTGGAGGTTTCTCGCACAGAGGAGATCTCTGGCATGGATCGCAGGACTGAAGGGATCCGAGCAGTGTGGCTGTCGTCATGAGACCTGCGGCTTCGGAAACAGCCGGCTTGGTGGGGCTGCCGGAGCCTGATGGACAGGAGGGAGAGGAGGCGGCTCGCATGCCCGCAGGCAGCGGGCGGGGTGCTTGCCCCGCTCCCATCCCGCAGCCTGCCCTGCACCGCGGCTGCCCTGTGCGGGGGAGGGGAGCGGCGCGGGGGGGACACTTC